ACCCCTAATTCTCCCACTGTTCCTCTGTTCCCCCATCATCGATGGCTCCCGCTCCCTGCTGTCCTGGTTTGCCTCATCATAAGCCTGACCCCACTGAGCCCATTATCAGGAGAATTGGGGCCAGTCGGAATATAGGTGACGTTTTCTAGGCATCCACCTATAAAAGAGTGAAGTTGGACCTCAGGCCGTGAGCAAAAGTTTACTCAGAATGAATCCAAGACCCAAATGTGAGAGTCAACATCTTAAAGCTCTCAGAGGTCGTGGAAACCTTAGTGACCTTGGCTTTGACCAGCCATGTTTACAGACAACACCCACAGATCAGGGAAGAGTTCCCCAGGGGTTGAGTGGACTGTGGAGTGACCCTCACCAATCACCCCACACAGAAGCAGAAACCCAGAGAGGGGGAGGTGGCCATTAGAGCAGGTTCACTGCAAGGCACAGGAAGAGCAAGAGAAAGTGAGACGCACCCCCAGGGCCAGGCAGGCAGGTCAGCCGGGGACCAGGTGCTCCCAGATGATTTGGGGTGGGCTGTCATTTGGGTGGGACTGTTTGAAGTGACCCTGCTCTTGGGCCTGGCACTTGTGCAGCTGCTGCTCATTGGGGGGAAGTGCTATGCCTACAACGTGTGAATATTGAGGATACATGCTGGGGGCTTGCCCTTTCTGGCCAAACGTCACAGGGAATAGGCCATGTAAAGGTCAACTGACCCTCAGAGTAGCTGTGGGCACATGCACAGCCTTGGGATACCACATGTGCCCTTAATCTAGAGAGGAGTGTGGTGGGCACCGTGTGTGGAAGCAGGGGGAGAGCAGTGGTGTGCTTGGTGGCTCTGAGTCTGGTTTCTCCCACAGCCACCCCACAGCAGAGGGGTGCATGTCCTCACAGCCGCGCATGACGGGGATTGGGTCCTCTGGGTCAGCTGCTTGCCGGGGGCTCCTCCTCTTCTCATTCCTGCTCATCTCTAGCTGCCTACCCATACTAACGGAACCCAAGGAAGACACAAAATGGACTTCATGCAGACTTAGGGCTTTGGAATGTCAAAGGAATCTTCACAGGAAAGGAAATGGCCAGACAAGGATGTGAGATGGAATTCATAAATCACATATCGGAGAAGCACCAGTGACAATAACACAGGGAGGGGTCTTATAACTAAGAGCCCAGTGGAAAATGCCAATCAAAGCCGTGTGAAAGACTCATTCACACCCACCCAGGGGGCTAGAATCCAGTCAGAGGATAGCAAGGGCTGACAGCAGGGTGTGTGGAGAAGCCCTCACATACACAGTGGGAATAGGAACTGGTGCAGCTGCTCAGAAGAGAGAAGATCAGCATTCACCAACAGTGAGGCAGAATCGCCACGCGACCGCAGTTCCACCCTGGGTCCGTACCCGGGAGATGAAACGCTATGTTCACACAAACACTGCACATGGATGTCCATGGTGATACCCAAAAGTACAAGTGGCCTTGATGTCCACGACAGATGGCTCCGTGGACA